TGATCAAAGCTAAAACATGAGTAATACAAAAGTTGAAACCATCATTATGCGTTCAGAAGAAGTATACAGAATCACTTTCTTTGCCATGACCGTAATATTGAAACCGATTACTCTCGATAATTCTCATGTGAGTAACTGTTTTTGTTTTGTAATCATTTGTTTATTTGCACATTTCAGATAACCACTGATATTACGGAACTCTCTTTTGTCATGAATTCGTTTCAACCTTAGACTGGAAATTACTCCGACTGTTCCATCCATTCTACTACATGTTTACGAATGCAGAGCTTAGAGAATGTTTTCATCGAAAGAAACATTTTTTCCTCACTGCAATGGTCTTCTGTGTTTTCCTATGATCAAATGGAGTTGCTTCCATTTTTGAAGAATGTGTCTCTGTAAAATAAAGTAGTTCTCCTCTTGTGCATAAATAAGTATATGAGATCCTATAACTATTAAGTGGCAGCATAAATTTATACTGGTGGATTCAAATAGTACTTTATCATCAAAAGCGTCTATCAACATAAATTTGTTGATCTGATGAGGAGAAAGCCCCACAAATGTAGTCGAATTCAATCATGGCAGTAAAGTATTGACCCTCTTATTTTGTTTATTAGTAACCATGACATACCTTTTCCTAAAATTATATGAGGTGTTTAATCGTTTTCCTACCACTTCAGCACCAGTCTTCTTCTTCCCTTACACTTGTACACCTAGTTTGTCTGACTTTCATTCAGTTAAAATTTTAATTAGTTGAAAACTCGACTAAATGTTTCAGGAACCAGCCTGTTGTCCAACTGAATCAATTTTTTAACGATAATTTGCACAGTATGAGATCAACAATAAGCAGTCGGTCAAACAGTGATCGAATTTTTGTCCAAACTGATAACAAATTTGTATACTTTATGGTTTTAGATTCATTGGTATCCTTCTACAAAGGTATCATGTTGTTTCTGTACCATTTATTTACAACGAATAACGTTTGTTTCGATGATGAATTTCATAAGGCAACATAGTGACCACTCAATGCATTTTGATCAAGTATATTTTTACAGTTCATTTTCTGTGTCAGATTTACAAGAAAGGAGTCGTAAGAGATTGCGGGTGTATTTATGGATCCAAAGACTGGGTAGTGGTTCCTCTTAGATTGATACTTTTTACAGTACATGAGACTGTTACACCGAAATTTTACTAGTGTTGTTAGCTTAGGAAAGCAGATGAAGTCAGTGCATCTCGTCAGTAATTCAAAGTCTGGATTCTCACCAACAGATATTGCTAATCTACTTTGATTCTCTAGCTCACTCATGGCAAGCTTCAACCACTGTAGAGTTGTATGCTAAGATGATCTGTGTGATTGAATACAAACGTCATTCTGTATAACCATAGCTTTCCACAAGTGGATTTTCAGCAAAAACAGATCCTTTAGTTCAGTAATAATACTCAGCTGAGTGACAGACCTTATGATCACGTTTATTTTAACTGTTTGTTTGTAATTCATAGTTGTCTATCCACTGACAATCAGCTGA